GCGGTGGGAATTCCATACAACCCTCTGCCACATTCCCAAAGTGATGGCCAAGGAATTCCCGCCGGAAACGTGGCCGATCCGCCCTCCGGAGGTGGGAGCGGGAGATCCCCCGGAAGTCACGGGCACGGCGGATGCCAGGGAAGGATAGGGATGAGCTGGTGGATCAAGGTATGGATGAATCCCAAAGCCGTGGAGGCACCACTGATGCCGACGGAAGACGGGATACGGAGGAGCACTGGCTGGTGTTTGCTGAGGATTCCCGAACCGCTGCCCGGAGAGAGAAGACAATTCCATGGGAATGGAGACCACAGATGGATATCTGAGGGCTCTGGGATGTCTGAGGGCCTCGGGATGTCTGCGGTGACGTGTTGTGAGTGCCAGGACCTCTGATGGTCTCCGGCCCCACCTCTGGAAAAACCTCCTCTGGGAACCTTTCCTCTGGGGCTCTCTGGTGATCCGTCCCCTCCCATCATCCCGAGCCTCGGAGATCCCCGGGAAGGAGCTTGGCTCGGCGCGGGATGCTCCCGGTGCCTCCACGGGAGGTGTCCCAGCCCTACCAGACCCTCGTCTCCATCTCCCTCCAAGATGACTGAATTTCCTCTTGGATGTTCCGATGCCGCTCCCGGCATTGGAATCCGCCAATTCCCGCAGAGTCCCGCGCCGGGACTCGCGGCACCTCCCACTCGGCAAAGCCGACGATCCCGAGGTGGGGAGAGTCTTCCCAGAGGTTTTGGCCTGTAGCCACGAGACCCACCAACGTGCTCCAACCCTGCTTGGTGTCCACCAGGAAGATAAAAAGTGGGATGGAGACAATTCCACGCGAGGGAGGACAACCTGTCCCTCCTGGGCCTTCCGGCCTTCGGGCGTTTGCTCGGTTTGGATCTTCCGCGTTTTTCCTCCTGGATGGTTTTCCCCAGGTGCTGGTTTCGGTGGTCCCGGCACCAGGCCGGTGTCTGGATTTGATGGATGAGGCCTCTCGGAAAGGGATAAGGCAGGGATGTGGTGGGATGAGGGCAGGGGTGCCGAGGAAGGCCGATGACGCTTCTTTGGAAGGGACACGGTGGCCGGTTCCTGGGAGCTGGGAGGAGGCCGATGTCACACCTGGAAGGCACGAAGGAGGATCTGGGAAGCTCCAGTCGGGCTCCTCTCAATCCTTGGAGCACATCACCCAGCAGAACAGCTCCGAGGGGGTGAAGGACAAGAAATCACGGGAGCAGCGGGAATGGGTGCACCCTCGGCCGGGAATGTAGAGCCGGCTGGGAGAGCTCCGGGTGCTGCTGCCATCCAGAGGAACCTTCCTGGCCTGGAGAAACGGGTTGGCTGGAACCTCGGAAGGATCGACAAGGAGGAAAGTCCTGCCCTTGGGGAGGAACAACCCCGGGCACCAGGATGTGCCATGAGGACATGCCAGAGGTCCCTTCCCACCTCCACCATCCCTTACCACCTCTGCCATTCCTTCCCACTTCCACCATCCTTTCCCACCTCCATCATCCCTTCCCAATTCCACCATCCCTTCCCACTTCTGTCATCCCTTCCCACCTCCACCATCCCTTCCCACCTCTGCCATTCCTTCCCAAATCCATCATCCATTCCCAATTCCACCATCCCTTCCCACCTCCACCAACCTTTTCCACCTGCACCATCCCTTCCAACCTCCACCATCCCTTCCCACCTCCATCATCCCTTCCCACCTCCATCATCCATTCCCAATTCCACCATCCCTTCTCACCTCTGCCATCCTTTCCTACCTCCATCAATCTTTTCCACCTTTCCCACCTCCCACCTCCACCATTCCTGCCATCCCTTCCCACCTCCACCATCCCTTCCCACCTCCACCAACCTTTTTTCACCTCCACCATCCTTTCCCACCTCTGCCATCCCTTCCTGCCTCCATCATCCCTTCCCACCTCCACAGTCCCTTCCCACCTCTGCCATCCCTTCCCACCTCCATCATCCCTTCCCAATTCCACCATCCTTTCCCACCTCCATCATCCCTTCCCAATTCCACCGTACTTTCCCACCTCCACCACCCCTTCCCACCTCTGCCATCCCTTCCCACCTCCACTATCCTTTCCCACCTCCATCATCCCTTCCAACCTCCATCATCCATTCCCAATTCCACCATCCCTTCTCACCTCTGCCATCCCTTCCCACCTCCATAGTCCCTTCTCACCTCCACCATCCCTTCCCATCTCTGCCATTCCTTCCCAAATCCGTCATCCTTTCCCAATTCCACTATCCCTTCCCACCTCTGCCATTCCTTTCCACCTCCACCATCCCTTCCAACCTCCACATTCCTTCCCACCTCCATCATCCCTTCCCACCTCCACCAACCTTTTTTCACCTCCACCGTCCCTTCCAACCTCCATCATCCCTTCCCACCTCCACTGTCCCTTCCTACCTCTGCCATCCCTTCCCACCTCCATCATCCATTCCCAATTCCACCATCCTCTCCCACCTCCACCATCCTTTCCCACCTCCATCATCCCTTCCCAATTCCACCATACTTTCCCACCTCCACCACCCCTTCCCACCTCTACCATCCCTTCCCACCTCCACTATCTCTCCCCACCTCCACCATCCCTTCCCACCTCTGCCATTCCTTCCCAATTCCATCATCCCTTCCCACCTCTGTAATTCCTTTCCACCTCCATATCCCTTCCAACCTCCACATTCCTTCCCACCTCCATCATCCCTTCCCAATTCCACCATCCCTTCCCACCTCCACAGTCCCTTCCCACCTCCACCATCCTTTCCCACCTCCACCATCCCTTCTCACCTCCACTGTCCCTTCCCATCTCCACCGTTCTTTCCCACCTCCACCCTCCTTTCCCACCTCCACCATCCCTTCCCACCTCCTCCATCCCATGACTCACCAACTTTTCGGGCTCATGCCCAGCTGGAAGACCCAGGAGAGCATGGAGTGGTGGAGTAGGAGTGTGGAATTCCCTGGGAAGTGTGGAGTGTGTCCATCCAGGAACAGAGCCCGCTTAGGGAAGATCAGGAGAGGGATGCTGAGCACGGCCATGGCTTCCCAACATCTCCATCACCATCACCACCTCTGGGAGCCCAGGAATGGGATCTGGGAGGGGAATGAGTCCAGGGAAGCGCTGATGAGCTGCCGGCACTTTTCCTGGGCGTCTTCCAGTGGATTGCATGGCTGGATGGGCTGGAAGTGGGCGGATGTCAGAGCACCGGGAATTTAATGATGACCTCTGGGCTCCCTCCCAATCCAATCCAATCCAACCCAATCCAACCCAACCCTCCCAACTCAACCGAACCCAACCCAACCCAACACTTCCAACCAAATCCAACCCTTCCAACCAAATCCAACCCAATTGAACCCATCCCCACCTGATCCAACCCTCCCAACCCTCTCAGCCCAACCCATCCCAACCCTCCCAATCCAACTCAACCATCCCAACCCTTCCAACCCAACCCAACCCATCCCAACCCTTCCAATCCAACTGAAACCAACCAAACCCAACCCAACCACCCCAACCCAACACAACCTTCCCAACCCAACCCATTCCAACCCCTCCCAACTCTCCTAACCCAACCGAACTCAT